TGGGCTACGTCAGCCCTCGCATGCGTTCTTAGAGGTTTTAGCAAGACTTCATAAGCTCCCATCATGTCTATAGGTTGAGGGTTTTTGGGGTCTTGTAAGGTTTTGGGTCTTAGGGCGTCTGTTCGGGTCAGGCGTTTCGGGTAGGGGGTCGGGGATCTTCCGCTTTTTGGCTTCGGGGTTGTCGGGTTCAGGGAGGTGCAGACAGTTCAGGAATCACGTGTTCCTGCTTAAGAAACCCGTCTCAGAAAGGCATTCATGAGGGCAAAGATCTTGTATCGCCAGCAGAATCCCAGGTGTATACGACATGCATTGTTGCAGCTCTTCAACTAAAGCTGTTCAGTTTACAGTTTACAGCTTCTTTGGACACGCATGTCCTAGCCATAAGACGGGTTTCATATATGGGTCGAAAACAATAGTAAAGTTCCTTCAGGTTCCCTTTGCCAGTTTCTCTGACATGCCCCAGCACCCTATTCTGAGAATGCAGGCCCCTGTCTTAGCGTACTTGTCAGTTGCAGCCCGGAAGCATTATTGCTATTGGCAAAGATTTTTGGGCTTGGCGTTTCGGGCTTAGGGTCTTGCTACTGTAGGCATTGGAAGAATTGCTACTGGTATTCTTTCATTCCTCCATAATCTTTACCCTAAACCCTAAATGTTATAAATGTGTGACTCAGGATTTAAGGCGGGTTCTAAGGTTTTAAGGGTTTTCATGTACAGGGACCGTTGGGCTTGGTGAGCAGGTTTTCTAGGCAGAGTTCACTAAAATGTGCGAGTATGTGCTGTTTTCCCTTCCCTCTCTGTGTATATGTATATGTAAAACCTTGTACACATACATCCAACACATGCATTCTTGACAAATCATGCGACTGCGTACTTTAGTCACCAACAGCTGTTCTCAATAAAAGTTTGCCTCTGATCTTCTTCGCTCAGCCCAGCTACCCTCCGAGTAGAAGGCTTACGCAGCTCTTCAAGGAACCGCTAAACCCAAGGCCCTAAACCTTAAACCCTAAACCCTAAATTCTATAAGCCCTAGGCCCTACACCCAGAAGAACCCATCGTCCCCCCGCTTGGATGCCAGACGTCGACGATCCGTGAAGAGCTCGAGACGGTGGCCCTGACCCCAGTGTCACCTGTGGGCTTCGTACGCTTTTCGCAGGAGGTTATAAGGTTATATAGAAGGGGCCACAATAGTTTGAGCCCATTTTTACCGTAGAGCTTAGGAGGTTATAAGGTTAGACATCCAATACTTAGGTAGAACAGCATTTTCGGAGTTGAGCTTAAGGTTTGGTTAAGGGATCAGGGTTCAGGGTTGAGGGCTTGGGGTGAATGTGTAGGTGTCTTGCGCTTAAGCTCCAATCCGTCGTAGCTTCCACTGAGGGATGCGGCCATGGACCCAAGAACGGGACAGATAAAGTGAACCACGAGACATCAACAATGATTCGGGTATCCTTTGTTTTATTCCGAAAAGAGCACCAATCCCGTGAACCCTTTTCAATTGCAAGCCCCGTCTGGTAACCAACAAATCTTAAACCCGAGCCAAACATGTAGCAGTCACATTTCCCAAAAGCCATAGCACAGCTGTGTATTATTTTGCTCCAAGAACCCTGTTCGAATTTACGGCCCCTATACCTCCCCCCATAAAGCCCAACAAGCTTCTACCAAGCCCATATAAAGCCCAATAAAGCCCTTCGATACCCCGTCGTTACACTCCAAACCCTGTATAATCCCGTAAAAGCGCCAAAACGCCCTTATGCAGTCTCATGTCATGTCATGCTACAAAAATTCGAGAATATCCCGCAGAACCACAGGCCATCGACCCGATCCTGGATCAGATCGCCGCGGCGGAGAGCTCTTTGGCGGGCCCAGGCGGCAAAGGGTTTGCTCAACCTATGCATATATATATATATATATATACACATATCATGTGTGTGTATATACTTATATATATATATATATATATATATATATATATGCGCACATACAGATAGTTGGGGCTGTAGCTGCAGGGTGGTATCCTAGTACTTGAGTTCCCAAGACCTAAACCCTGAGCCACTGAACTCTCCCTTAAGCTCGAACAACAGTGGCTTCTTACGATTCGGGATCCTATTCCTCCCAACCCTGAATCCACAAATAGTCGTATGGGTCCGCCGCGTGGCCATAGTTGAGGGTTTAGGGTTTAGGGTTTAGGGGGTTTGGGGTTTTGGAGCTTAGGGTAGGAACGTGTCGTGGTTCCTCCTTCAGGAGCTACGCCAGCTTCTTTGGCGACCAATGCGAAGGCCTGCACTGGGGAGAGTTTTGCTGGCTCAGTGTTTCGGTTATTTGGGAGTTCCGAAAATCAGGGGTACCGAAAAAAAGGGGTCCTTACAATAAGGATCCTACTATTTAGGGTACTATATTAGGGTCCCCTATTTTCGGAAACTCCCATTTCGATCATTAGGGCTATAAGGTTTTAAGGTGTAATGCTTGGGGTTTCAGAGTTTAGGGCATTCACTTTGACAGTTATAGGGCCTATGAGGGCTCGAAATGAGAGACTCCACCGCTAGGCCTTAGGCTTTGGGATGATCCCTACTTGGAGGTTCATGGGTAGTCATAAGTCGGGTTCTAAGTCCCTAATATGGGTTAAAACTATAGGTATCCTACTTATAACCCTGCTTATAACCACCCATGAACCCTAAACCCTCTACCCTTATCGAACTCTGCTTGCAAAGCTGCATGCGGTTTACAAGATGCCGGTTCCACTGCAGAGCATTAAGGGGTATTGGGCTCTCCGGGAACCCTAAACGCGGTTTGGGTTTCGCATGCCGACCTCCCAACTCTGTGCCCTCACCCCTCCCAGCGGCGGCAAACCCTAAATCCAAGCCCCTAAACCCTGAACTCCTAAACCCTAAACCCTTAAACCCCTAAGCCCGTAAACACCTACATAAACCCCAACCCTCGAAACCCTAAACCATGAGCCATATACCGGCGAGTAGGATGCAGAAAGTCTTAACATCATGAACCGCGCAGTCTTGAGGCGACATAGAAAGAATCACAGCAGTGTTTAGGGTTTAGGGTTTCCCACCTTTGCTTTTTTTGGAGTTTACTGTAAGACTCTTAAAGTGCAACACTTACCAAGCAAACATAGCCCAAGAGGCCGGTCCATGAATCCAAGACCCTATACCCAGAGCCCTAAACCAGGATGCCAAGCATGAGTCTTTAGCCCTTCAAACTCACCATGTCAAAAATCCTGCACCTGGGCCAAAAAGCACACCTCCAGAACCTAAAGCCTTACACCCTAAACACTACTCCCTAAATCACCCTACACCCGAATCCCTCAACTGAGCCCCTCAACCACACAAAACCCGAAAAACCCTAAACCCTAAACGCTTAAACCCTAAACCCTAAACCCCAAAACCAAAAAAACCCTAAACCCGTAAATCCCTAAACCCGAAACCCCCCAACCCTAAACCCAAAAACCCAAAGACCCTCTAACGCTTAAGCCCAAAAACCTCTAAATTCTTACACCCCAAAAAGCCGACATGCTTGAACTCAAAAAACCCTAAACGCTTACATTAGGTAGTAACCCTAAACGCTTACATCCGAAAAATCCTCAACGCTTACAGTAGGTCGTTGAGCTGATGGACATGATCGGAGCCCTTGACATGGAGGTCCCCCGGGCAGGTCTACATGTGGCGCAGGGGGGCGTAGGGTCTGGGGTCCAGGGTTTGGGTTGTAGGGTCCTGGGGTCTAGGATTTGGGGTGTAGGGTTTCGGGTTCAGGGTTTAGGGTGTTAGTAATTAGATAATTAGACTTCATGGAGTAGGGTTTAGGTTCAGGCTTTGCCCTTCAGGGGTCTAGGCTTTGGGATTTAGGGTTCAGGTTTGAGGGGTTTGGGGTTAAGGGTTCAAGGCTATAGGGTTGTCAAGCTCAGGCTTTCGGCTGTGTTCTTCGGTTCAGGCCGAAAATCATCGGCAGCTTGCTGGTGATGGTGATTTTGACGGTGGGAACCATTAGGTTTTTTGATGGTGGTGACGATAGCATTCGCGTCTTCCCCATATTTCTAAGAAGTCTGGTCCCGCTGCTTCTTTGTATTGATTTCCATCGGTTGCTTATTTCTAGTGTTGCTGCGACTCGTTGGTCGTTGTCTGTCCAGCAAGCATCTTTGTGGGGGCGCAGCCATTTTGCACTTGGGCTGACGCAATTCCACCATGCTGGCCTGATGAGCTCTCTCGGCCTTCTAAGTTCGGAATGTACAGGGCGTTGTGTTTTCTTGCGATAGTTCGAGCCTACCTTAATCTAGAACCTACTTCTTGAAGGGTCTTCATATAAGCCTCATTATAGAACACATACTGTGGACCCTACAAAACATTCACTTTCGGTGGGTTGAGGTACCAAGAGGCTGCGTATGTACTGCTATGATGGACTTAGGCCCCCAAAACCACAATCCAGGCTCCCAAGCAGTACCCTTTTGTTTTGGAGTCTCTTCATCAAAACCGAACAGTAGGAACAAAGGCCAATGTATCGGTATTATGGAAGGGACACCGGAACTTAAGGCGTATACGGAGCGACCCCTAGAAGGGACCAGCCCCTCAATAACCCCCAAATCACCCCTAAGGTACCTTATAAGGGTCCCTCCTTTAGTCCCTTGAGGAACACCTGGTAGCAGGGATGGTCTTCGGACCGAGGTTCCATGATCGTAGCATATCTGGGCCTTTTGGAGCGGTGCTGAGAGTTGAGGCAGTGAGGGCTTTAGGGTTTCACGGTTTTAAACTCTGAACGCTAAGAGGATGTGGTTTCGGTGGTGGTTGCCTTGTGGTGTCGACTCAGTCTGCGTAAAGGAACTTTCGGCCTGATCGAGCCATCGCCATGCACCCAAGCCCGCGAGGACTGGCATATGCCACTGAGTTAGTCGACAAGATCTCCAGCGGGCAGTGGACTAATTCGAGTGCTTGGTTGATGACCTGGGCCCAGGAGAAATAACATCTCCTGAGTTAAGAGAGCTGCCGCAAGCGCGGTCGCGCGACATGGGACCGCAGGACATGGGCTCAGAAGCTCCAGACTCTTCGGAGAGCGAAGAAGCTGAGGAGGGCAAAGAAGCCCCGCAGGAGGGTGAAGAAGGCGACGACCCGGCGGAGCAGTTCTTCTGGCGATCCGTTGACGAAAGGTTTCGTCCTGAGCGCTTTCGCGACCAGCAGCAGCAAGTCAGGAGGAAAGTGGCTTGATGCAAGATGTCGTCACGCCCTGTTGAGGTGGTGCCATCTTAGCTTGGATTACAGCCGCTGCACGGGAAGAAAACCCTAAACCCTAAACTCAAGGCCGCAAACCATAAACCCTGAACCGCAATTGCTTTCTACATGTTGAATCGGTCCTACAACCTCCACCCTGACCCCGAAGCCCTAACCCTGAACCCTAAACCCTCAGCCCTAAACTAAACCTTAGACCCTAAACCCTCAACCCTAAACCCCAAACCCCCAACCCTAAATCCTAAGCCCTCTGCCCTCTACCCTAAACCCTCAACCCTCAACCCTAAGCCCTCTACCCTAAACCCTAAACCCTAAGCCCTAAGTTAAACCCTAAACCCTCAACCCTCAACCACAGAGGCGCTGTATCTCCCGATCCAGTCCAAGATTTCGGCTGCTGGGAGCCCTTACGAGGACCTGGGGAGGTACTTTGGGGTTGTGAGAGGTTAGGGTTATAGGGTTTTGGGTTGGGGGTTTTAAGGTCGAGGTTAAGGTTTAGGGTTTAGAGAGGTTTTGTAGGGTTTTCTTCGATGAAAGCAGGATTGAACTTGTTTGGCGTAGGGTCTTTGAAAGACGTTGCATGGTGTGTAGCGTTTCAGGATTCAGGAGCTGGGGCATTTGTGTTTAGGGTACAAGGTGTATGGTGTATGTTTTGGGATTTATGTGTTGGGGGCTTTACGGGTATTGAGAGTTTAGGGTGCTGAGTTGGCGGTTGTTTGGCCTCCAGGGCACCGTGCACCCTAAACCCTGTTGGCGTTGGGGCTTGGGCTCTTGTTTTTCCAATATCGAGTTTCGGGTGTAGTCCCCTACACCACCGAGGTAGCTGAGTGGATACATTTTACACTTTTGGGGATAATATTGCCCACGACAAAACTGAAAGTGTACGCACATTTTGGGGCTGAGGAACTCAGCAACCGAGCCACTAAACCCTCAATCATAAGCACAACTACTATTCTAAGTTTCCCAGAAGATTCTTTGGGTGTAAGCTCTCTGAGTTTGAAACTCTTGCGTTTAGGGTCCTATTATGGGCTCTTATGACTTTACTAGGTTCCGCAATGGTTTCGAAGTGTTGATTGAAAGGTCTGTATGGGCTAGGTCGTCCAGTAGTACGCTCTAAACAACCTAAGCCCCGCCCGAAACGGCCCCGAACCTCATAAAGGGAGTTTTGAATAATTATGATGGGGATGCTTTATAGCTACTTGTGACAATTCTTGATCATTTTTGTGAGTTTTAGGAGCCTGATGACTGTTGTGACAAGGATGATATGGTCGCTAGATACCTCTACCGCAAGAAACCCAGCCCCTTGAATCATACACGGCTTCATCTCATGATTTAAGCTATATTCCTTAATTGAAACGCTGCGCGTCGTCCGCCTCGGCCCGGCTGTACGCGCATGCGGCAAGTGGCTACTATCTGCAGCAAGCTCTTGTAGGAAAAAAGTAACAGTTGGAATCGCACTTATAGTAAAAGCAATGTTCATAGCAACACGAAGCAGGATGATTGTGAGTAGTATTAGTAGTGGTAGTATCAGTACGAATTTTTGGTGTCGTCATTCCGAAACATTGGATACCAAGACTCTCGCAAGCGGCGGGATGCCTTAAGTATGGGCCGTTGAGGCTGTGGATTTCGTGGGCGTCTTGGATTAGGGAAGCATCAGACCCTTTTCAACCACGTTACTCCGCCTATCCCAACGAAAGGGCGTCTAAAACAAGCCTGAGACGCACATGAACATGCTACATTGCAGTCCCGTGTCGTCGTAAACTCCAGAAAGCTCGCACGAGGGGCGGGGAGACGGGGGGGGGGGGGGGGGGGGGGGGGGGGAGGGGGAGGAGGGGACGGGAGGAAAACTGGGGGGGGGGGGGTTTGGGGGTGGGGTCACGTGGAGGGGATTCCGGGGCCGAGGCGAATTAAGGGGTATTGGGCTCTCTGGGAACTTCCAAAGCCGAAATTCTGGCTTGAACTCAACTCCCTGCCGTCACCAGGACATGACCGCCACCTCGGCTATGCTCCCCACGAACCCATTTGCGGCCTCGTTCTTAAATGGAGAGCAGCCGGAAATAGATGAAATTGCGATTCAGTTTTTTGCTGTTCATGGGGTTTCGGAAATAAGATCGTTGGGCTGCTGCTTTTGGGCCTAAGCCCTCAGCCCTGGGCCTTAAATCGTAGCTAGTGATAGTGCTAATTAATATCAGAAAGGCTTAGTCACTCCATGCGCAAAGGTTCGTGGGGCTTGAGGTGCTGTATCGAGATGTGATCCAACCTTTATGCCCGAGCTACCCCTAAAACCTAAACCCTCAATCCTAAACCCTAAAGCTTAAACCCTAAAGCCCCAAACCCTTAACCAAAAAAACTCTAAACTACTTGGAGGTTCGTGGGTAGTTAGAAGCAGGGTTATAAGTAGGATAGCTAGAGTTATAAGCCATGTCAGGGGACTTATAACCTACTTATAACTACCCATGAACCTCCAAGTAAACCCTACAGACCCTAAACCCTAAACCCTAAACCCTAAACCCAAAGAGCTCAAGCCTTGAGGCGTTCCTGGCCGTCAGCCTTTCCTGCCCGGACGTGACCCTTGGCACGCCGCCCAGGGGTACCAGGATGATTCAGGGTTTAGGGGTTTAGGATTCAGGGTTTAGGGGTTTAGGGTTCAGGGTTTAGGGGTTTAGGGTTCAGGGTTTAGGGGTTTAGGGTTTAGGGTTTGGGGGTTTAGGGTCTAGGGGTTTGGGGTTTAGGGCTTAAGGCTCAGGATATGGTATCTTGAGTGTAGGGCTTCAGGATGTAGGGTTTCGGTGTTCGGCTTTAGCTAGGGTTGCGGGCTTCAGGAGTGTCTAGGAATCCGGGTTCATGCAGTGGTTCAAAATTTAGCTACTATTTGTTTAAGAACCCCCAAAAACCAAAAAATATATTCCTTATAGGGATAATATAGGGATTATAATTTTTCATTTTTTTTGGGTGGTTCTTAAGCAAATAGTAGTTAGGCGTTGGCTTTGGTTAGGCTTTGACTTTGACATGGTCGAAGGGCGTCCGAGGCCTGCAGACAGCTTAGCACCCTAAACCCAAAGCCCGAATCCCTAAAGCGTAACCCCTAAACCCCAATCCCCAAAACCCTAATCCTTAAACCTAATCTAGGGGCCATAATAATTACCTGTACTCTTTTGGGGTTCCTTATTATAAGCATAGTATACTACACCCCAAAACCCTATTCTAACTATTAGGGCTCCTTCGTCAATCCCTAAACCCTTGGCCTCGGTCGGCGGGGGCTAGACCTACAGTAGGGTTCGAGTTCAAGATCTGGGCTTAGGAGTGTCTGTCCGGAACTCCGTACCATAGTCTCCTTAGGAACTATGTTTTAGTTTTGTTCATCTAAGACCCAAGAGAATACCAAACAATTTTTTTATTATGGTTCTAAGGGGGTATAGCGTATATGACGTGAAGTAGCCACAAAACCTGCTCCGCATAAAGTCCTTGGGTAGTCCAGTCTTTGTAGGTAGGTTTCTCTGGCATCTAGTGTTACGGTTGATGATATAAATCCTGCATGACCCATAATAAGGAATATACCATAGTTCCCATAGCTTGGGGTCCTTCAGGTAATGCAGGATTTATATCATCAACCGTAGGAATCTCGTAGTCCAGTCTTTGTAGGTATGCTCCCGTGGCATCTAGTGTTAGCTCATCTCCATGGTTGTGCTAACCCTGAACACTAAATCCCTACTCCATAAACCCTAAAACCTAATTTCCTAAACCTAAGCCCCCAAAACCGTATTTAGCCCTTTCTATTCCTAGGTTACTGGGCATCCTAGACTCCATCAAACCCCACTTGGAAGTTTCCGAAAATAGGGGACCCTGACATAGTGCCCTACATAGTAGGATCCTTCCCCAAATAAGGTACCCTTAATTTTCGGAAAGTCTAAACCCTTATAAAGCCCTTCAAAAGAACGCTTATAAGTACCCCTATAGTAACCCTTTAAAGGAACCCTAAGGTACCCCGAATTTTCGGATCAAACCCCACTTAAGCCCTAAACCCTTCGAGAGAGCCGAGCCCTGAGGTGCCGAGCTGGGTGCAGACTTCGAGGGCGACGTGGTGCCTGGGATGCCTCCCGGCCTTTACATGTAGGGACCTGATGAAGAAAGGGCTCCATAAGGGATCCTTACGGGGATCCTGAAGGGGCTCTATAAGGGATCCTAAGTGGTTCTATAAGGAATCCTTATAAGGGTTTAGGGTCTACGGTAATGTTACTCTTACCTTTGGTTATTAGGGAGTGGAAGAATGGTAGTAATAGTAGTTATACTTGTACCCCATTCCTCCATTCCCTACTAACCAAACGTAAGTAATGCAGGTACCTGATTAAGGAACCCTGGGCCTTTCTTAGGGTTCCTTTCAAGGGGTCTATAATGGCTCCTATAAGAGATCTACAGTCAGGGTACTATAATAATGTAGGAACCTGATTTAGGAGCCCTGGGCCTATAACATGAAAATCGTAGGATTCATACAAGGAGCTCTGATAAAGGTCCAAGGTTTCTTAATCACACTCCCGGCCTCTACAGATTTTTTTTGAAGAAAAGCGTACCAGGGCTCCAGTTGAAAACGCTTGCGTTTCATGTCTGACTCTGTTTGAAGGATTTGTGTTCCTTTGCACCACTCATTTTTGGAGGAAGGTGTAGTTGCTTTAGTGTTAGTTCTATGTCTGTTGAAGCCCGGACCTTACACCCGTAGGCAGGGGCTGAAGGTTTGACTCTTGCTCGCTGTTTGAGTTTTAGGGCTCTTGGTGCTGCTTAAGAGGTTAGGACATTACAAGGGGGCGCGGGGGACGCCTGGAGTGGGGGCTTTTTTTTCGACTCAATGGGAGGGGAACAAGAACAGGGGGGTGGGGTTGTTGTTCTCTAAATCGGAGAACAACAACCCCCCCCCACCCCTGTATCGAAGGGGTATTTTTGGCCTTTAGGGCTTTGTTGGGGCTCCGGACGGGCGGCATGCTTTGGGTGTTCTAGAAGCTTGGAGGGGGGAATCGCTATGATCAGCGGTTGCTGATTCTTCTTCCTGTCTTTGTCATCAACATTGTCTTTGACTCCAGGCTTTTTGCGAAACCTAAACCCCTAACCCTTAACCCTAAACCCTAGAAGCACCTGGGTCCCTACGACCTGGAAGTCTACGACTCAAGCCCTTTACCCTAAACCCCGAACCCTAATCCTTACTTAAAGCCCTAAAACCCAATGCCCGAGGTAAAACGCTGGAATACGCAAGGCTTTGTATAGGTTAGGGTTTAGGGTTTAGGGGTGTAGAGTGTAGGGCTTAGGGTGTAGTTTTCTGTGCAGCGGATGACTGGGACCACCGAAACCCCTGAACAGCCCCCCGACCAGATAAACTCTGAAACCCCGACACTACCTTACACCGATCAGGAACGCCATGGTGACGCACCTTGGAGCAAAATACTGCTGATTTAAGCTTTGGGGTTTAGAACTTGCGCTTCAGGGTCTAGGGTCGCGAAACGGTTTAGGACTTAGCCTTTAGGGTTTAGGGTGTTTCCTTGGGTTTGTGAGGTTTGTGGCTTTAGTGTCTCTTGAATGTGTTTACACGCATTTATTGTACCTCTTACACGGTTCTTGCCCAAAGCCATTACCCCCAAACCTTAAAATCCATAAACCACCTAAGCCTTATAGCCCCTAAACCCCAAACCCTAAACACTAAAACCCTAAGCCCCCATCCCTTCAAGGCCTAAAGCCCTAAAATCGTGGCCCTACACCCTAAATCCCAAACCCTCAAAGCCTAAACCCTCATCCCTAAACCCCAAACCCCAAAAGCCCTAGAACCTTACTTTTGGTTAGTAGGGAATGTAAGAAGGGTAGTAATAGTAGTTATAATCGTACCCCATTCCTCCATTCCCTACTAACCAAAGGCAAGGAACTCGAAAGCCGATGCACCCAATCCGAATTCCCCATGCTCTGCTGAGCTTGACCTGGGTTTGGTGGTTTTGGGTTTAGGGTTTGAGGTTTAGGGTTCCGGGGTTTAGGGTTTAGGGTTTAGGGGTTTAGGGGTTTAGGCTTTAGGGTTTCTTTCAAGGTAAAGGGTTTATTCTTAAACTAAACCCTAGATTTCTTTGAGCATTTTCGGGGAGTTAGGGTTTGGGCTTCAGGTCTAAGGGGTATGGGCATTTAGCTCGGGTGCCGAGTCCATCAGTCTTTGTCCCTGCCGTGCATGCAGTGTGACACCATGAACATTAATCCAGGACTCTGGCACAGTCTGCGTGTTTCGGTGCCTGACATCTGACATCTGCAGCAGGCCCAGCCCAAAGCAGGCGTGATGCAGGCCTACTGTCGCTTACTGCATTTACCGCCTTGATTCTAAAGGAGCTTTCCGCGCTTCACATGCAGACTGCAAAGGTGAAAGATGCGGAGGAACCTTTCCCTACCCCCCAATACACTAGGATTCACAGAAGGAACTTATAAAATACAACTTAATTACACACCCAGGGTAGCTGAATCAGATTCCTATATTGGGAACCCCAAATCCGAAACCCGAAACCCTAAACCCCAAACCTCAATCCTAAACCCTAACCTCTCAACCCTAAACCCCAAACCTCAATCCTAAACCCTAACCTTTCAACCCTAAACCCCAAAGCTCAACCCTGAACCCTAAACCCTCAACCCTAAACCCCAAACCCCAAACCTCAACCCTAAACCCTAAACCTCAGGGCTCAGCTTTCGTTTTTGAAGACCCCCAGGATCCGGCCTAAGGGAGAAGAAGCCTTGAGCCCTGGTTTCTGGGGTTTTGAGTTAGGGGTTTAGGGGTTCAGAGGGGTTTAGGGTTTAGGGTTAGGGGTTTTGGGGGTGAATAGGGTTTTAGGGGTTTAGGGTTTAGGGTTAAGGGTTTTGGGGGGTGAATAGGGTTTTAGTTAGGGGTTTAGGGTTTAGTAGGGTTCAGGATTTAAGGTTGAGGATTGATGGTCTGGGGTTTAGGGTTTAGGATTGGAGGTTTAGGATTTAGGGCTTGGGGTTCATGCTCTAGGACTTAGGGGTGTAGGTTTTACCCTAAGATCTGCGCCCTCGACAAATAGTCTGCGGGTTCCTCAGTTGGAGGTTTCTTCGGCTCTTCGTCAAAGGGGTCTTTTCTTCTCGGGTATAACATGGGCTGCTCGTTTTCAGAAGCTCTCACAGATACATCCCGCGGTCCAGACCTCTACTGTTTTATCTAACTCTAACAGCCCTAGATTTGCAACCCTACAAGTTACAACAACAAGCCCCAAATCCCGAAACCCTAGACCCCAAGAGTCATGTGAAACCAAGAGCCCTTAAACAGAAGAATTCATACCTTAAGCCTTGCACTTTCAGACGCAAACCAACCCAAAAGCCGCTAAGAATCACAAAATCCCAACACACCTAAACCCTAAACCCCTAACACCCTAAACCCTAACACCCTAAATGGGGGTTTCCAAAAATCGTGGATCCTCATCTAGTATCCTAAATAGTAGGATCCTTATAAAAGGACCTCAAAAGATGGTACCCCCAATTTTCGGAAACTCCTAAATCCTAAACCCTAATCCCTTTTTAGAACCCTTATAGATCCCTTTAAGGAACCCTTCCAGCCTTTATAGAACCCTTGTAGATCCCTTTAAGGAACCCTTAAAGGATCCCTTTAAAGGTAACCCTAATTTTCGGAAGCTCCCAAAGCTCCGCTCAAATCAAGACTGAACAGCCGCGCTCCGAGGGGTCCGATGACGCTGGAGGGAACCAACGTACCGCCCCTCTCGGACTACACAACCTCGGATCGAGACTTAGAGTTTAGGGTTTAGGGTTCTTTGGGGTTTAGGGTTTAGGTTTGGAGTTTAGGGTTCTTTGGGGTTTGGGGTTCTTTGGAGTTTAGGGTTCTTTGGGGTTTGGGGTTCTTTGGAGTTTGGGGTTCTTTGGAGTTTAGGGTTCTTTGGGGTTTAGGGTTCTTTGGGGTTTAGGGTTCTTTGGGGTTTAGGGTTTAGGTTTGGGGTTTAAGGTTCTTGGAGTTTGGGGTTCAGGGTTCTTTGAGGTTTAGGTTTTTGGGTTTCTGTGGAGTTTAGGGGTTAGAGTTCCGATCGAGACTCAGTGAGGGATTTTGTCTTCGAGTCAGAGGGTTCTGTGGGGTGTTTTGGAGGGTTTTTTTGGAAGGTTCTTCCTACAAGCCCCTTTTTCGTGTGTCAGCACAATTTGTTCTGTTTTTGTTTGTTTGCTTTTGGGGGTTCCTGTTTCTTGAAGACTTGAGTTTGAACAGTTTTCTTGTTTGCAGCTCAGTTCAGCCCTAAACCCAAAACCCTAGACCCTGAATCCTAAACCTTGAATCCGAAACCCTAAACGCTGAATCCTAAACCCTAAACTGAATCATGTCTGAGCTCTTTGTTTTTATTCTCTTTGTATGCTAGTCATCATGTCTTACCTACGCTACCTCGTGGCTCAAGTACAAAAAGGATTCGTGCGTCCCGCTGTTAACAATAGGTTATCAGCCGTAGCTTGTATAGCTCTTCGTAGTGCAATGGACACCACAGCTCCCACAAATCCTGCAGGTGTGCCTATCTCCGAACTAGGTGATGACGATACGGAGTCCGCCCGCTCGAGATCGAATCTGGGCGCAGAGCTTCCGGTTGTCACCGCCCGGGAGGGTCGGGTAGCTCTCACTGAGCAGACGCTACGTTCGCATGTTGGGTCCCTTGGACCTCAACCAGCATACGTGCCATCACGAGCGTCGCTGACACATCAGCCCTCACCCACAGTCGTAGGCTATTCTCCGGTGCCTCCATCGCACACCTCCGTTCCAACTGTCGTGAATCAGTTGTATCAGCATCAGCAAAACGTTCTGATCAGTGCGGATCCTGCACTGATTATGGATACAGCAAATGCAAGACACGCTGAAGCCGTTCGCAACATCCAAAGCGAAAACAGGGAGCAAATTCTCGCTTTGGAAACAGGTGCCATGAGTCAAGTCGCTCAGCTGAGGCTTGAGCATGCACAGTTGCAGTCAAAAGCCAGAGCCTTTGAAGAACAGGCTAATCAAAACATCCATGCTGGTCGGCAGGCCGTAGCCCAGTACCAAATTGAGGCTGAAACAGCCGCTGCTGAAGCTGAGCAGCTAAGGCAGCGCCTCCTATCCGCTGAACAGACAGCTGCGAATGTTGTCGCCCAGGTGGAAACCGAGGCTAATCGAAGGTTGCAGGCTAATCAAGCCGACGTGTCAGCTCGTGACAACGAGCTCTCTCGCCTCAAAGGTGAGATGCAAGAGATGATGAGGATTCAAGCCCTCAACATGGAGATGCTGCAAAAGGACAATGCCGAGCTAAGAACACGCTTGGCGGAAGCCAAAGCTGACCCATTGGGCAATGAACCGGAACAGGCCGGGCCTCCTGGTCTAGGACCCTTTCCGATCCATACTCCTCCTGGCGAACCACTTGAAGCGCCTGAAAAGAGCGGTAAGAAGGAGAAAAAGAGCAAGAAATCCAAAAAGCACAAGAAAGATGAGTCGTCGGATTCATCGTCTTCTTCCATTGACAACAAGATTCTTCTGAAGATGCTCAAGAAGATGGTGAAATCTAAGAAGTCTGATAAAGAGGATGATGATGAAGAAAAGGGTTCCTCGAGTACCAAACCCAAGGTTAAAGAGGCTGAGAAAGTCGTGTTTCCCAAGTTTCCCCAGCCTGAGCAGTATAGAAACTGGCGCATAAGGGTCCGTGAAGCCATTGTCGCTGCATCGGATTCGCCTGACAAGGCGCATGCCTGGCTCAGTAAGGTCTGGGAGAAGGACGCCGACGAGAAAGAGCTTCGCGACCCGGAGGGGTTTAGCACCTTGGATGCCAAGATCCTTTCTGGGCTCACCAATATCCTTGAGGGTGATTTCGCTAGGCAGACTGATACCTTCAAGGAGACCGAAGCTCACGCCGGAAGGCTGGTGAGAGGAAGACAGTTGCTGTGTCGTCTTCACAACCACTTTGCTACCAATGCACTCCATGGTTCTGTGTATGACATGGAGGACCTGATGAATTGCATCATGGTCAACGAAAACCTCACCACCTTCATTAGAAATTGGGATACGGTGCTATCAGGGAGTCCCAATCCTCCAGACAACAGCGTGCTTGAACCCCTGTTCCATAGACAGGTGAAGAAGTGCAAGGATATCGATCACGACATCCAGGTCTATGAACGCGCACTGGAAGGTAGCGAGCAAAGGTCCTATCAGTTCCTGTATAACGCGGTTGCTAATCATCTGAAACGCAAGCGATTGCAGAAGAACCGCGAGCGCATTGCCCGGCAAACAGGTGTACCTACTGCGCCTGCCGCCGCACCGGCCCCTAAGCGTATTCCCAAAGGGTATTGCGTCGATTGGGTCAAGACCGGAAGTTGCAAGAGAGACAATTGCCCGTACAAGCACCAACAACCTAGGGGGCGTTCTCACACTCCTGCCGGAGGTCGTACGCCTACTAGAACCCCTAGCCCGGGAGGGAAAGGTAAAGGCAAAAAGCAGGAGTGCAAGTTCTTTAAGCAAGGAGTTTGCAATCGTGGAGACAAGTGTAACTTCCTCCACAACGGCCAACCTGCTGCAGCCGCCCCGGGCAGCTCAGGTGCACGAGCGAGCAGCGGCGAGAAGAAGGAAAAGAAGCACAAGAAGAAAGAAAAGAAAAGTGGTAAGGGCCGCAAAGGCTCCAGATCTAGCTCCAAGAGCTCTTCAAAGAGCGGCAGCCGAAAATCAAGTAAGTCTAGCCAAGGCTCGAAGGGTTCGCGTGGCTCAGGTCGCAAGGGTGGTGCGCCCTCCGTTCCCGCTGCAGTTTGCTTATTGGGAGCAATGTTGGCTGGCTCAGCAGCCCAAGCCGATGCATTCACGTTCCGGAAGGATATGTTGAGCAATGTCGATGTTTGCACCCCGCACTATCATGTCGCACTGGCCGCAGTGTCATTCAATGACACTACTGAAAGTTTCACGTACCAAATTCCGAAAGGGAATGGCCTCTACCCCCTCGATGATCGCAATAAGCCAAGGGAGTATAGCCAAGTATATCCCGCCAACAGCCATTGGAAAGCCGATCCTGATTCCGTGAAGGAAGCTCAGGTAACCGCTAAGATGTTGCAAGCTGTTGTCAGTGATGAGGTCAAGGGCTGTAGACCGCAGTGTAAGTTCAAGTGCAACACTGAGTTTGGATGCAAGCATTGCATTCCGATTGGTTTGAAGTTCAACTGTGCCGCACCCGCCAGCAGCAAATCACCATGTCTGTGCATTGAATGGATTGCTGACACTGGCAGTGCGCAAGATCTCATCGCCCAGCGGGAGCTTGGGCAGGCGAAGGCCTACGAGTCACCTGCGCCCATTCAAATGATGACTGCAAATGGGCCAAACTCCGCTTCAGAACAGTGTGATGTTTCTGCTGACTCCATTGGGATTGAGGTCAAACCATATGTTCTTCCTGATACCCCATCTGTCCTTTCAATAGGACAGCGATGCATGGAGGAGGGATTCGATTTCATCTGGAGGGCTAATTCACGACCGTACCTTAAGACTCCCGAAGGGAAGAAGGTCTATATGGACGTTAAAGATAACGTGCCGTACTTGAAGTCCTGGCATGAAAACATCAGCGTCCCTGCGCGTCGGGCCTCGTCCGGTCCTGGTAAGACGCAGATCATTGAAAGCCCCTCCGCGGCCGGAAGGCCAGCGCCGGAAGAATCATCCGAGGCTATCGCAAAGAAGCTTCGAGAGTCTGGCGACTTCTCACATGCATCATGTTACTCCTTGTTAAACAAGGTAGCTTTCAAGGCCTCTAAGAAGCAGAGGTCTATCATCGCCAAGGACCCAAAGTCCTCTAAGAAGTCCGAGTATGTTGTGCTCGGAGCCTTCTCGCACGGCGGGATGCAAGGCATCACTAACCGCAGTCACCAAAATAAGGAGCTAATGAAGTTCCTCAATGAGTATCTGAAACATCATGGTGCCAAGGGCCCCAGCTCTTCACTGTGCATTAATCACGGGTCCGGCGTCAAGGTGCACAAAGATGCTCACAATCATCGTGAACACAAGAACAACACTATGTGTTTGGGTGACTTCGAGGGAGGCGAACTTTGGATTCATGATGAGGAAATCAGCAGGGAGAACAAAGATTATGCTTCTGTTCGCACGCCTGACGGCAGTAAGCTGAAAGGCAAAGTTCACAAGTCCAAGCATCGTATGATTACGTTTGATCCCAAGACGTACCACTGCGTCCGTCCCTGGAAGGGTGACAGATGGAGCATCACATCATACGTGAATCGTGCTGTGCACAAGCTTGATGCTACACAGCTCGCGAGACTTAAAGAGTATGGTTTCAACGTGCCATCTAAGGTCTCAGCTCCGTCTTTGATCGAACCCGGTGATGAGGAAACGTCCTTGTATGACCTTGTTGCCGGAACACCTCCAGTTGAGAAAGGGGTTGAACTACGTGCAAAGCCCAAGGTCAAGACTAAGGGTAAGCCTGAAAAAGAAAAGAAAGTTGAACCACCCAAAGAACCTGATCCTCCGCCTACATCGAAAGGAAGTGGTCATGATGACGAAGACGATATGGATTACCTCAATCGCATCCTCGAGGAGGAAGGTTCTGATCTGGAAGACATGCCTAAGGATGATCCGGGTGCAGCTCGCGCTTCTGACGGAGCCGCTGTCGCCCCAGATGGGGATTCCGAGGGCGATGGGAAGAAGAGAAAACGGGGTATAGAAGTCCTGAAAGCTGAAGCTAAGTCGCTGCATCATATGATGTCGCATCAGCCGAAGAATCCGTTCTGTGATATTTGT